TGTAGAGCACAGTACAATGGTGAGAACACTGGACGGGAGTCCCGAAGAGAAAGATCAAAAAAACTGCTCTTTCTGCTTTTCTTTCCAAACAGTCCCAATTTTTGTGAGATCCAGTTATGGATACAGATATGGATATGGTTAAGGATTTGCAGATGACTGTAATGTAGGTGGGGATGTAAATAATGGGATGCCAGTTGTTATGTTAATAGAGAGATACTAAATTGAAAGGGGGCTCATATGTGTAAGGACATGCACGGGCTTTATCAACTCTAGGAGTACTGTCCAACTTTCCTGTGGGCTTCTGACATTACACGGCCTGCTCCCACGATAACACTCGGCATCATGAGGTCCACACGGTTTCCTATTACTCTACAAGTCCCACTGCTCTGGGTCTTTTCTGCATTATCCAGGGAATTGCGGTGGTCATGAGTCCAAAGAATGGGTCCCGGTCTCAGTAATACTTGCTGTTTACCTGGGACCTGGTCCTCAAGAGTTTTTGTAAGGTCTCCTTCCTCTAAGAATAAGCATGTAAAAGGAGTTATCTGCAGAACTCCAACTCCTCACTTCAGGAAGCGCTGATGAAGGGGGTCATCTGTGAAGTCCTAGTATCCATCAGGACCTTCACACATCCACTGATACCACAAATATTTAGTGATGTCCATCATACGAGGTGCTGGGGAGAGTATGAGCCAAAGCAGACACTGTCTTGCTCTCATGGAGCTTCAAGCCCAGTGGAAGATAGAGACATAATCAACCCACCATAAAACCATAACTGACACAAGCTCAAGTCCAGATACCATGAGCATCTAGTAGGGCAGGAAGCTAGGGGAAGCTTCCCTGATGGTGAAGGTGAGCTGAGGCCTACAAGAAGGGGAAGAATGACCTGTGGGAAGAAGACAAGAGGGCAAAGATGAGCATTCCAGACTAAGGGAACAGAAGGTGCAGAGGTCCAAAGGTGGGGGGCAGCGTGGGCAAGATGAAGGGTTAAAAGAAAAGCAGAAGAGAGAGAGAATTGAGAATAAGACCGTGACATTAAATTTATCTGTCTGAAGGGCAATGAGAAACCACTGATGGGTTTTTAAAAGAAGGGGAACTGATTGGATTTCCATTCCGATCTTGACTTGCAAGATCCCTGACAGTAGATATAAAGCCTGGATTTCAGGAGCCAAGGGAGATGAGGAAACCTTCAGATCTTCCAGAAGCACCTGAAACCTGCTCTGGAGATACTGGGATCTCCAAAGAGCATGAGACAGTCAAAGCAAGTGGCAAAGTGTCGTGGGCTGGTGAGTGGAAAGTCCTAACACTGAACGTGCCTCTATGGTCTCGATGAAGTGACGTGATCTGGCCTAGCATTGCTGGGGGGGACTCTCTCCTCTCTGATCCATCTGTCTGAGATCAAGCAGGAGGGCCTGGAGTCCCAACCACGAAACCAGAAGGATGCTTGGGAGACTGGAGGGACATCCAGGTATCCAAGACCCTCCACACTCGCCCCACGCCCCCACCCCCAAGCTGCTGTGAGTGTTGGCTGCCAACGGCTCACAGTTGCCCTGTGTCCAGACAATCGCCATGGGCCACACTAAAGCCACCTAGACTGGGAGGTAACACCACCCTCCCACCCCAGCAGCCTGTAGCAAAGACCGACTGTCCGGTAAGCTCAGGCTGCTATGACAAAACACCAGAGACTAGGTGACTCAAACAACATTTATTTCTCAGAGTTCTGGAAGCTGGGAAGTCCCATATCAGATTCCTGGTGAAAGCCCTCTTCCTGGCTTATAGACGGCCACCTTCTTGCTGTACCCCCATATGGTGCAGAGAGGGAAATCTGTTTCTCTTCCTCTTCTTATAAAGCCACTCATCTTATCAGAGAACCTCACCAGTATGACTTCAGCGACCCCTAATTATCTCTGGAGGGCACCATCTCCAAATACTGTCCCACTGGGCTAGAGCTTCAACATAGGAATGGTTGGGGGGGAGGGGGAGACAGTGCACTCCACAGCACTGACCGACCCTGACAGGCCAGCTCCCTGCAGGAGGGAGGATCAGGCCGAAGCTAGTCTTCCAGGGAGACTGTTCTCTTGCTTAGCTTTTCTTGCTCTGCCCTCGCTCCTCTTCTCCCACGAGCAGCCCCAATAAATCACTTTGAAAGAAAATCTCCATCTCGGCTCTATTTTTAGAGAACTGCGGTCAGAGCATCAGGTTCTTCTACCATCAAGCAAGCAACAAGCCCACACCCAGGACTGACTGCACCGGGCACGGAGAAGGGGGCCACCATTACCTGCTGTCGGGAGACCCAGCTGCTCACCCCCGCTCTGAGACTGGACAAGTTGTCCAGCCTCGCTGAGTCTTGGGCTCCTCTTCCATAGGATGGCAAAAACACTGCCTCTCCACTGAATGGCCCAGTATCAAAGCACTTGGAAAACCACAACTATGAAAACTTTGGTTTTCTCAGAACCAAACCATGCTCTCAGAATCCTGAGCATGCACATATTCTGCCCCTAACTCTAAGGGAGCCCCGAATTGCCTCCCGTTTTCTTGTTATGGGTTGAATTTTGTCCCCCAAAGAAGATACATTCATGTCCCAACCTCAGTACCCAGGAATGTGACCTTATTTGGAAATGAGAGCTTTGTGAATGTGATTAAGTTGAGGTCATACTAGATTAGAGAAGCTATAATCCAATGACTGGTGTCCTTATAAGAAGATGAAACTTGGACACAGAGACACACAGGGAAGAATGCAATGTGATGATAAAGGCAGAGACCGGGATCCACAAGCCAAGGAACACCAAAGATTGATGGAAACTACCAGAAGCTAAGAGCGAGGCATGGAACATACTCTCCCTCAGAGCATTCCAGAGCAAACCAACTCTGCTGACACTTCCATTTCAGACTTCTAGCCTCCAGAAGAGTTACAAAACAAATTCCTGCTATTTCAAGCTGCCCAGTTTGTGGCATTTTGGTACAGCAGGGAGATTATATACCCCCGGTTCATAGGCACATAGTGGGATTGCCAGAGAATCATCAGGTTGTGATTAAGATATGGCAGAGCAAATCTTCGAGTAAGGAGGAAGACTCTGACCTTGAATTTGAAGAGATGCTGTATTGTACCACATCAGAAAAAGACTCCCCAAGATATGCCCATAAGAGGTAACCTAGCTAAACCACAAAGGAAATAAATAAGGTGGGGGAAGGGGGACCAGGCTAAAAAGTAACCTAGTATATCATACTAGAGAGTCTAACAGACCTAAGTGATGAAATGTGTGGCTTTCTAAGCCTATTTCCTGATGAGTAGAATGATAATACTACTACTTAGCGCGTTAGAGTTGCTTGAAATATTTAAACAAGATATTGCCTGTAAGTGCTTTGCACGGTGATGGACACATTTTTAAAAAACTCCAACGTTAGCTATTGCTTTATTATTGTTTTGTTACTGACGGTGTAAGTTCTTAGAAGCCTAACTTCTCTGAGCCTTAGCATCTTCATTCATAAATCGAGCATAACAGATATTTCACAAGGTTGTTGTGAGGATGAAAGAGATAACGTGGGAGGCTTTTTTACTGAAATATAATTGATATATAACGCTGTGTACCTTTATGTGTAATGTGTTGATTTGACACATTTATATATTGCAATATGATTACTGCCATAGCGTCAGCTAACACCTCTATCAAATCACATAATTATTTTTTTTTGGTGGGAACAATGGATGGACTTTGAGGGTGTTATACTAAGTAAGGTCCTGTATACAATGGGTGGGTTCCATCAATGTCGGGTGCCCCCTGTAACAAACCTGAGCCAGCACAGTTCCTAGAGAAGGACACTAGAGGGCAGCAGGGTCTCATTTTTGCCCTACTCCAGCTACAGCCAGGAAAACCCTACACTAGAAACAGTGACTGCCTACTTCTCTCTGGGGAACCCCCAAACATCCCGATGGGAACGAAGCCAGCCACTTGCCTTCCTTTTAGAGAAAAAAGCAATTCAATGGAATGCACATTTCCAAAGAGCCCACTGGGTATCCCAAACCTCAGTTTAAAACAAGGATTGTATTTTACAGGGATATTTTTCGACTTTTATATGGTGTGAGTGAAGCCCCTCCCTGCATAGGGCTCAACACATCAGAGATGCCGAACCAATCTGGAGCCTCAGAAGTAGACCAAGTTTTGCAAAAATCAATCCCTTCTGTGATCAGTTTCCTAAGTTACCAAGTCATAAAACCTTGTTTATACTGATTCGTTATAAAGTCTATGGTTTGTGTCACAAGCATTTGAGAAGAGAATTCCTCCAAAGTTTTAGTACCGTTCTTGTCTGGTTAAGTGTGAGTTTTACGGTAGCTTTATGGCTGAGTATCTACCAGTCCAGCAAAGCCAGGTTTCCATTTTGCTGGAGCTTTGCATGTATTTCTTGAATGCTCCATTCCGGAAGCCAAAGACGCCCTGCTCCTGCCTCCCCCTAGTCCCCCTGCACCCCTACAAGCTGTATTATCCCTCTTTCTTATCATTACAGGATACTTCAGAAGTGCAAAAAGTATAGGGAATCCTAGAACACGTAGTCACCGTCAGGTTTAAGAAAGAAATTATTTCAAATACGCCGAAAGCCCCCAGCGACGCATATGGCATCCCCACTCTTGCCCAAGTTGTCACAATCCAGAATTTGGTGTTTGTCACCAAGACTATTCCTCCCACTGGGAAAGTCTGCGGAAGCACCAAGCATTCCTTCTTGGTTACCTTAACAAAGGAAATAGAACTGCACACTCCACACCCCGAGCAAGAGCGGGAAAGGGAGAGGGAGAGAAGAGGGAGTGAGGCCTTTCTGAGCCCCAGCCAGCGCAGGTGCCTGCAGCGGGTAGGGACTGTGATGGGGCGGGGGGGGCGGGGGTTGGGGGGCAGGGTCATGCAGTCCCCTTCCCGCCCCCCCTTACCCTGCCCATCCCTCCACCAGCTTCCTCTCCCCCAACACACAGGTCGGACCCAGGGAGCCGGCGCCGGAGCCCCAGCGCCACCTACCGACGACGATGAGGACTTCCCTCTCGATGTGGGCCTGGATGTAGATACGGCCGCGGCGCTCCGTGTGGTCGGTGCCGCACAGGCTGGGGACATTCATCACGCAGCGCTTGTGCACGTTCATCATGCAGGCTGCGAGGGTGGAGAGGAGCGCGGTTCAGGCTGCGGCCCTCCGGCCCGGTCTCATCTGAAGGGCTCCTCCAACCCATTCCCCCCCTACCCACCCACCCCCCAGGTCCGATGGACAGAGGAGGTGGGACTTGTCCGTCCTCCCTGAAGTCTGAGTCCGCACCCTACATACCCCGAATGGCCAGTTTCAATGCCACTAGATTTGAGGGGGGCTTGGCTCATTACTCAGCAATAGACAACTGGCACACCAGCCCACCCCGGACTTGGGAGAACGTGCTGTGGACCTGGACCCCCAAACCACGAGGAAGCAGAGGCCGCCACTGAGCAAATTGTACTTACTGTCACATTTCATCCCCTGGTGGATGAGTCCATACAGCAGTGACCCACAGTGGTCACAAAACGTGGGGCTGGAGTACGTGTGGATCTTAAATTTGTGCTTGCTCCGGGGGTCCTAAGGCCAGGAGAAACAAAAGAGGCCAGCGTCAGTGTGGCGAGCCAACGACTCAAAGGGCATCGAGTATCACTGGAGGACTCACCGAGAACAGTACCTGGCCCCGGCGTTCCTCACCCCTGTTAGGGCCATCACTGTGCTCTGCGCCCAGATGTGCATTTGATAAATAGTGGTTGAAGGAGTGAATGAGTCTGAAAGCAGCTGACTCCCAATGCAGCCACAGCCCGTTCCCTGTGCTGCCAGTCCTCCACCTGAGAGCCCAACCTACTGACTCCTGCCTGCAGCAAGGACTCCAGAGACAGCACCTAAACAGGTCCCCTTGTTCCTACTTTTTTACCCCTTTATCCTCTGAGCATGCCCGTGGAGGGCTCTGGAGTGATCTAAAACCCGAGTCTGCTTAAAGGCCATTTGCTAGTGCCTCATCCCCTACAGAACAGTATTTAAAGTCCAATGAATAGCCTGCAGGTTGTGGCAGAGCCTGCTGGTTTTTCCAACAATACCCATGCTTTTCTTTAGTAATAGAACCCTTGAGTTTGAGCAAAGAGCGTGGCCACCCATTTAGAGACTACATTTCCCAGCATCCCTTGCAGCTTGGTATGGCCATGTGATGAAGCTCTGGCCAATGGGATAGGTGTGCTTCAGGGTCCTTCCCTTTAAAAGAATGTGTCCAACCCTCCCTGGCCCCAAACAACTTGGACCCAAACCTGGAGACCTGTGCTGTAATGATAGAACTACACTACTAGACTTGGACCTTGTCCCTTTGGGCAGACACCTGAGAGAAAACTTACCTTCTGTCTTGCCTAAGTCACTGTATCTGGGGGCTATTTGTTACAACAGTTTATATGGTTCCCTAACTAACAAACATGCCCTTCATAACCTGACAGTATAGTATAGAGGTTCAAAGTACAGACTTTAGAGCAGTAACTATCTGGGTTCTTCTCAGCTGTACGACTTTGGGCAAGTTTCTTAATCTCTTTTGCACTTTGGTCTCCTTGTCTATAAAATGGAGGTAATGGTGGCTCCTGGGTGGCTCAGTCAGTTCAGCATCTGCCTTCAGCTCAGGTCATGATCCCAGAGTCCTGGGATCAAGTCCCACATCGGGCTCACTGCTCAGCAGGGAGTCTGCTTCTCCCTCTACCCCTCCCCCCTGCTTGTGCTCTCACTCTCTTTCATGATCTCTCTCAAATATATAAATAAAATCTTTTAAAAAATAATAAAATAAAATAAAATGGAGGTGATGGCAATGCTACAAGCTTATTAGCCCACTGGGAAGGATAAATGGATTCATCTACGTAGAGATCTTAGAACCACCTGGCACCCCGTAAGCAGTATAAGATCTTGCATTATTATTAAATCTCCCTTATAATCTCAACTATGTCTCCCCAAACACACACTATGTTCTCAGTACACAGGACTTGTTCACGCCTCCAAACATGCCCCTCTGGCTCTGCATGTTGTCTTTCTCCTTCAAGAGTTGCTCTTCCATCACTGTGCTAACTACAGAGCTCCTTCTTGTCTTTCCCAAAGCCAGCCTGAAAGTTGCTTTCTCCGTGAAACAATGGACGGCAGAGGTTGAGAGCATGGACCTGGGATTCCCACCCAGGGCTGATCTGACACAACAGTCTTTGCTATATGCTACCCCTCTCTTCCCTCATTCGTTCAGCTCATCACGTGTTTACTTAAGCCTGATATTCTAGTAACAGACAGAAAATAAACAAGTGAAAATAAATAGACACAATAAGTAGATATTATGTTATGCGCTATTAAAGTGTTGAGTGTTTTTCTTGAAATGTTCTATATATAAACTGTACTGAATTTTACTGTATGTAAAAAAGGCGAACTTTCCCTGCATGAAAACAATATCTCAATAAGCCTGACTAAAAAAAATCTTCAGTCACTGAAAGCTTTGGGGGCGTTCACCTTAGAGCTGAGAAGTGAGTGCCTCCAACCCTCCTCCAAGGAAACACCTGTTCATTACTGGTGTTGGCCTGTAGGGGGAGCTCAGAGCTTCCCTCACTCCCTGCTCCCCTCAAAGCAGGAGAGCCCATCTGCGTGGTCAGAGTCCAAGGCCCTGATCGGCCCCGCCTCAGTGGGTGGAGCTTGCACACGTTCGGAAAGGCGCACCTGCCAGCTTTCTCTTTCTCTCCCGACACCCCCTTGCTCCCGGGAGGCCGCTGCCTTCAGATCCCATGGTCTAGACCTGAGAGGGTTGGGGTGAGTGGCCTGGGCCAGCTCTGCTCCAAACCCTGCGGCAAGTTCTCTTTCTCTTCTTGGCTTTTGTGCTCTCTTCTGGTTCCCTGATATGTGGACCTTCTAGTATAGCCAAGAATTTGTTTTGATTATGGTTTAAATTTCCTTGGGCGTACCTAGTATAGAAAAAGGGAGTCTCCAAGGGCCTCATGAGCTCGACCTTGAGATTCGGGACAAAATCCCAACTAATAATAAATGGCCTCTTTGCTGGCTTTCACTTTCCTCCACGTATACATCTCCTTGGAATATCTCAGGGAGAAGGATTTGAGCATTTCTGACTAGATATGACCAAGAACCTTCTCTGCCCCATCATGTCTCTTCAACAAGAGGAGATGCCAAGTGGCACAAAGAATGGGAAGGTAAATGAAACATTTCCTGAGAGCTGCCCAGTGTCTCATGGGCCCTTTCTCCGGTACTCATGATGTTCCATTTGGAAGGTGTTATTCGTTCCCATCTTAGTGACAGTGAAAAGGGCCCAGACTAGAGAGAGAGAGATTTTCCCACAGGTCACCCAGCTGGCCCACTGCTGAGCTGGGATTCAGAGCTGGCTCCACCTGGCTCTGAATCTGGGATGCTCTGAGCTTCTCTCCTTTCTCTCCTACCTCCCCAACTTCATTAATGCCTTTCTGTTCCAGTGCAGCTACAACAGCACTTCCTTCCTTCCTTCCTTCCTTCACCCAACAAATGTTTACTGAGAGCTAGGGTCTTCCTAGGCATTGGGGATACAACTGTGAGCAAGGAGCCAGAATGCCTGCTCTCATTGAATTTACATTCTAATGGCAGAGAAAAACAAACAAAAAACCCCACCAATATCTTCCCCTCCCAAATCTTCTCCATCATAGCATTTAAATCACTGTATTGTAATTACATGTTTAATTTCATCTCTCCAATGCTCAGCTGCAAGCAACATAAGGGAATTTTGTGCCGGGCACATACTGTACTTGGCATATAGAAGGTGCTCAATAAATGAGCGAGAGTTAGTATTTATTGAGCATTTACTCATCCAGGAACTAATTTTCAGGGCTTTGCCAGGCAGGCATTAACTCATTTAATCCTCATAACATCCCTAGGAAGTACGTACATTACTACACCCATTTCACAGATGGGGACCGAGGGGTGCAGGGACTTGCCCCGGGCTCCCCAGTTTCAGCAAGCCCAGCATTTCGCACAGTGGCTGGTACATATGGAGAGGCTTGAGTTGCGGTAGCAGCTGGGGGGCTGTAAACATCGCTGCTAATCACTCAGAGCCCGAGCCATGCTTGTGCTTTTCTAGAAAATGACTTGGAGAGCACTGTGCTCTCCAAGTCATAGGCGGATTAGAGCCTAACAGGAGAAAGGAAGGCCCAGTGAGCACATGGCAGAGGAAAGTTTGTTTCTGGTTTATTTAGAGGCTGTTGGAGGCCTCCCCTGCCCAGGCTTTCTGGAGGGCTCAAGTTGCCAGCAACCCCCCCACCCCCCGCCGCCGCCACCACTACCAATCCCTCAGATCACCCAGACCCATCAGGTCATCCCCTGATCACTTCTGCCCTCCTCCCGCCTGCTACCTGGGAGAGCTTGGAATAAAGCCACAGTCCCACTGCAGGGAGCCTCATGACTCCAGGATCCTCAAGGAGAATCTTACAGGGTGCATGTTCATGCCCAGTGCCGCCTCTGAGATGGGTGGGTTTGCCCTCTGAGACGGCCCACTCCCCCGGACACGGGTGACTGGTGCAGAGGTAGGCGCTTGGCTCAAATGACTCACATGCTTAGTGAATGGGACACAGGCAGCCAGGAACACAGGCAGCTCCAGGGCTGATGTGGCCCTTTTGTTTACAGTGGGCTCCAAGGAACAGAGAGGAACAAAGACAACAGGCCATGTGACCCGAGGGATGGAGCTCCTCTGGTTCCAGTCCCTCCAGGGCCTGGCATCCTGTCCTCCAATTCCATCGGACTCTTCCCATGCCCTCTGTGTCCCCTGTGTCCTTCAGGCTCATGCCAATCCAAGGAGGCATCTGTTACCTGCAACCAGTGATGGGCATCAAGACAGTTCTAATCACTTTGGCTCAGGTACTGCCCGCTGGCCAATCAGAAGGAACAGCAGGTTTAGCTGTGCTGGGAGTTAACTCTGTGGTTGCCGGATCGTGGAGAGGTAGGGGGCAGGGAGCTGGCAAGGGAAGAAGTGGATGAGTGGTAGAAAGAGGAGGCTCAGAGGGCCCAGTGGCTATTTACCAATCAGTTTTAAAGTATTTCAATATTATCAGAACTGGTACAGTAATGCTGGTGCATCCAGGTTAAATATCAGCCTGGCCTTTAACCAAAACACATCCCCTTCCCAGCTTTGGAGGCTGTGGCCATTGACCAGCTCTGAGATGAGCCTGGAAATCCATGCAGCCTCTAAGTTAGAACCTTCCCCCCATCCCAGGCCACACAGACTGGGTCCCCGCCAGTCCGTCTATCGCCCATCCCCATCCCTGGCCTGGGTCCTCCTTGATGCTCAGAGGTCACACAGTCTGGAGCCCAGGGACCATTATCAACTTTGCAAACATGCTATATTTGCTCCATATGGTACTTCTTAAAAATTCAAGTTAATTGCCTACATTTAAAAATCACGAAATGTCAGATAAAAATGTAAACTTCTGGCTCCTTTGAAAAATTGCAAGTTATGGCAGCACTAGACACGTCCCTGTGGGCTGAGCAGTGGTCGCCCCCTGCAGATAGGGACAAGGCTCCCCGTCCTCCGGTCCTCCGCAGTCCCTGCCACTCCCTATGGT